TTCTCCTTTGTAGGTAACTTTTTTTCTGAGCTGCACTCAGGATTCTTTCCTTGTCTTTGATTTTAGAAAGTTTGATTCTGATATGTCATGGTGATTTTCTTTTGGGATCTAGCCTGTTTGAGGTTCATTCAACCTCTTGTATGCTTATCTTCTCATCTTTCATGATGCTACGAAAGTTTTCTTCCAAGAACTCTTCAACAGCTTTCTCCCTGGTTTCTGTTGGTTCTTCTGATCATCTAAGTTATTCCTCTTCATGTTGTTCCACTAACTCTTAGGTTTTCTTCTGATTTTTCATTAGTTTTTCTGATTGTTCTTCTATCATACTAGTAGTAAGAGATTTCTTTGAACTAACTGATTTAGGCAAACAGTGTATCAAATCTATGCTTTTGTCCTTTCTATGTATTGCCTATTTCTGAAAAATCTTAGTATTAATCTTTTGAATTTCTAATTGCAGATTTTGTTTAGTTTCAGAATTTGCATTTATTTGTTCTGATAGTGTTTCCCTGAATGCGTCTGAAATATCTCCTGTGCTCTCCTTGCTTTTCCTTTTTCTGTCAGTCCTTTGTAGGTATACCTAAATGTCATCCTTTTGAATTCTTTTTCAGTTAGCTCCTCAGAAATGTTTTCTGGCTCTGCAACTTGATGGTTTATTTGTGTCATTCTCTTATTTCTTTGTGTGAGCTAAAATTGTTGTCTCTGGGACACTGTGATGTTGTTGTGTTTCTATTTAATTGTTGTGTTCTTACCTCTCACCAACTGTCTCCTGTCGCTGTAGTTAGAGAATGGAACTGTGTGTAGCATTTTCTGTTTGCCATTCATGCACCTCAGTTCAGGATGGGTTTGCTGGTGTTGGCTGCTGTCTGTCATTGATCAGGTGGTATAGGAGCTGGTATTAGCTCTTGCCCAGTAGGTGTAGCTGAAGGCTGTATTGGCCTGGTTACTGTCTCCTGTTGGGAGGGAAATAAAAATCCCCTCACAGACACACACACACAAATATAACCAAACAAGCAACCAACAATGAAAAGAGAAAATAATAAAGGAGAAACAGATAAAAACAGGCAGTAAACAGAAAAAATACATATATAATAACTAAAGAGAGAAAAAAGGGACAGAAAAAATGGAGCTATAAAAGAAAAAATTTTTAAACCACCTAGAAAAACCAGAGAGAGGAATGATGGAAATAAGAGAGTAGAGAGTAGTAAAGAGAGATCAAAAGGGAAAAAAGAAGAAGGGGAATGAGAAATAGAAGAAAAGAAGGAAGTACAAAAGTGGAGATAGAAAAGGAAACAATTCAAGGGATTGGAAAGAGAAGAGGAAGGAGAAGAAAGAATAAACTGAAACAATGAAAGCGGGAGGGGAAAAATAGTGCTGCTGTTAGACCTGGAGAAGAGAAAACTCTGGAGGCCTCCTGCCTGTCAAGGAATTCATGAAGTACATGCAGGAGGAATGTGACAGCAGAGTCCTGACCATGGATGGAGTTCCTGTAGGTAAAGGAGAGGACTGTGAAGGTGAGAGAAGCCGGCCACGAGACAGACTGACATCATAAGCCCGAGTGTGGTACAGGAACAGATACCACTTCATGCTGTGAAACAAGATCACTGAGTTGAAGCCAACTTGATGGTAGTTAACAACATCAAGCATCAGTTAATTAGGTATAATGAAGATTTTTAAAGTGTGGGAGAAAATGTTTGACTTAAGGCAAAAGTAAGTAACTATATACCAGTAAGCACCAATATTACTTATTTATTCAGTATATATTGAGGACCTGCTATGTATTGTCTACTGCTATGTATCATCTACTATAGTAGGCACCATAGAAAGGATGCTTAGAAAAATCAGATATATGTACTACCTTAAGGAGATCTCCCAGTATGGTGCAGTGAGTTACTTGATATGGCCCTTTTAGCCATGCATAGTCTTATAACTCCCACAAAATGAATGGATGGTGATGATGGTTAATTATGGTCTAGTTGGTTCCCACTCATAGTGACCCTGTATAGGGTTTCTGAGGCATGTTGTTGTTGTTGTCAGGTGCCATCGAGTCTGAACGGACTCATAGCGACCCCATGCACAGCAGAACGAAACAATGTCCGATCCTGGGCCA